AATTTTAGATTTTAGAATGGAAGGTCAGCAATGATGCTGTTAAAAATAACAAATTGCATGTGAATAAGTCAGGAAAGGATTTATTCACATAATAAGAAACCAGGTAGCACTATTACAGATTGCTATGCTGTGAGCACAAGTAAGACAGCTTCAGATATGATAACATCAGTTGAACATGGAGTTTAGTCATTAATATGGAGTCTTATCATGCAAGGTTGAGAGCACGCCGCACTGAGTAGGAATCAATCCTTAACACTCTAGAAGTCAGAATCCAATTAGGACATCACTTCTCTTCCCAGGTTCCCTTTATCCGAGACGTTTCCCTTCAGTGACTAGTACTGACGTTTGGACATTTCCTTTTTAAAAGTGACTATTCTGATGCTGGATTGAATCAGAAAAAAAGACACTTTAAAGTGAGAGGTTGGTTTTTTTTTATTGCATTACCATTTGTTTCTCCTCTCCCAGAAGCACCCCAACTAGAGGCCAAACCTGATTCCATTGAAGTCAATAGGAATTTTGCCAATGACTTCAGTGGAAGCAGGATCAAACCCTTAATCATAGGTAATAGTGTTGGAAAAGACCTTTGAGGTCATCAAGGTCACACTCTCATATCAAAGAGGATATTCCTCCCACTAGGATTTTATCTAGCTATTTCTGAACACCTCTAAATGAAGGTGACTCAGAAACCGTACTATGTAGTTCAGTCCATTGCTTAATTCTCCTGACTGTTAAATAATTATTTTAGAGCTGACCTGCATTTCTTCACGTTTGATTTAAGAACATTACTTCTCTTTTATATTCCAACTACAAAATCCATTCTGGCTATGGATGTTTCTCAAACTTGTACTATATTATGCAACCTGCCTTGATCATCCTTTTTCCAGGCTCTAAATTATACCTTGAAGATCTCTTTTCATCATTCATACATTAATTGAAAAAGGGAAAATTGTGATTTTTGTCATATTACCCCAAACTATGGATTCCCATTTCTAGGACCTAATCCTATTAGGTTCTGACCTCCCACAGTCCCTTTTAAGGAATTGGGAAATATTCAGCACTCATTCAGAACCTCAAAGGATCAAGCTTGAATCACCATTTTTGCCCCACTTCCAGTAAATAGTTCCCTGAAAAAAGCAGTTACAGTTTAGTGTCTTAGGATAGTGACTGTAACAGCTCTTCCGATCTGTCTTGCTGGCTCTACTACTGACTTGCCGTGTGACACTAGGTATGTCATTTAAGTTCTTTGCACTTGATTCTCTACTACATTATTCTAGTTTTACATCAAGAAAACTCCATTGATTACAACAGAGTTACAGCAGCATAAATCTGATGAACCAGAGTGATGAATCCAGCCCTCTGTGCCTCGGTTTATTTGTAACTGGAGTTTGGTGTTGATTTTCAACAAGAAAGCTCTAGCAGCTTTGGGCCCCCTCTACCTGAGAGTATGTTTACACTGTGGGACTATACTGACATAGCTATGGTGTCATACCTATGCCTGCATACCCCTGTAGTGTAGATGCAGACCTACTGTCAAGGTCATCATCTTCAGAAGTGACCTCTGATTTGGGTGCTCAGTACGAGTCTGTTTTTCAAACCACTGATTTCCATTGGAGCTGTGGGCTCGCAGCACTTCTAAAAGCCAGTCCCAAGGCATTTGCTGCTGGGCACTCAAAAGTACCTTTCAAATTCCTCGAAGGAAGGGCCATGTTATGTAAGTGCTATTGTTAGAATAAAATGGTTAGAAGTGTAAACGCCAACATTTCGTACTGTCCATGCTGAAACTCAGCTGCTTCTTCACACCTCATTCAACTGCCTGCTTTGGCACTGGCCCACCCCAGAGCATTACCAAGTATGCTACTGTTGAACCTACCTACAAGAATCAGACACACAAATTCAGTGGGAAATTGGAAGGCAAACCAATGAATGAATCTGCATTCTTCTGTCCATGGGGCTTAGTGGCCTGAGTTGTGGGTGCTCAGCTCCTCACAAGATCAGACCCTAAATCTGTCACACCTTCATGCTAATTTTCCTTATCTTTCTCTTTGACCATCTTCTGCAATGGCACGCCCATAAATAATGGTCACACACTGCATTGCCAACTGTTTCAGACCCAGACATCTTTCTGTGCAACTGTCGGCAAACAGCTGGCCAACTACTACTCACTCATAAGTAAATAGACCTGATTCTCCATAGCTTTGCAGACTGTGTATTCATGTAGAGCCTGAAAATGGGTCCAAACAGCAGACATCTGTGCCTCCATACAATGAACTATGGAATCAGGGCATTACGCCTATGCAAAGTAGGTGTAAAATGCTACTGATCTGATTGTAAAATCTGGTGTAAATGGCTACACAAGTTTCAAGGCAATGGAGAACCAGTTCTCATGGTGCTACTCAAGCTTGACTGCCATGTAAGTGAGAACAGAATTTGGCCCAGTACAAGCACATGGTTCTGTAGAGATTCCTACAGGTGATTTTCCTCTGAAGTTGCTGGTATTGATCTGTTACAATTGTTTACAATTGAAATGCTGGTTTCCTTTAACCACTCCTGTTTCACACTGCTAAGAATATCTAAAGCTACACCCAATATTGCTAGGTGCAGGAAGGACTACAGTTTAAGCTTGTAATGCATATGAATGGGTATTTCTCTTTGTCTGAAGTCTGTCATAAATAATAGAAGACTAAATGAACTCAGTATCCTTTGTTCAGGAATTTCTTAATACAGAGCTTCACTCAGGCCTCAGCACAGGTCTCAACTGGCAAGTGAATTTAATGAACTCTAAAAGGGATACTCTGCTTAATGGTATTCATGGCTACACAAGGTGCAAGGCAATGACAAATATTCCACATTGTAGGAGTTGAAAATGTTATTGACATTAAATGCTCAGAAACAACAGCGATGGGCAGCAGTATAAAACCCTAAGATAGGAAACTGACTTTTTTTAATGAAGTTGGATTGCATTCCCTACCCTCTTTTTGCTTTTATATCACTTTTGACAAGGTACATTCAAAACGAACCAGAGATGGAGAACCCAAGTCACTAAATTCGGATCCAGTCCAAAACTTAGCCAAAAGTATGGGGTGTTTGAATCTGAGGTTTTGGTTTGTGTCTAACACAGCAAGTAACATTATCAGTTGTACACAGGACACCATACAGAAGAAGGAAAGAATGCTAAGGGGAAGGGTCTTGTGTGTAAATCCTAGAAAAATGTTATATTTTACACGTTGGCCATAATGAAAATATTGGGTAGTATTTCATTGATTTCCCCACATGCAGAGATTAATAGCAAAAAATAACAGGCAAATGTATATAATCATCTGCAATTAGAGGTGGTTTGTACAGTATAAAAACTGTTTTAGTAGAACTATCTAAACTGTGCACATCAATGCCATTATTAATGGTGGTGAACTGTAACCTTCTACCAAGAATTGCTTTTTAATCTCAGTTGATTTATTAGCAGTATATTATGCACATGGGACATAAAACCCGAGAAGTTAGAGATAAAATAAAATAGGGTGGATTGTCACATAAGTTCCTTTTCCACCACTCTAGTTATTTGCCAGTAAAGAGTTACATTATAAAACATAATCTTTCAAAACAGAGGCAGGAACAGGTATGAAGGAAAGCAACACTCACTCTTCCCCACCCACCTATTTAGAATAGCATGAGTGGCTTGATACAAGATAGTTTGTTTTTTACTTTCCTCTGAAGCATCAGGTCACTGCTAGAGGCAGGAAGTGACCTAAACAGGTCATCAGATCACGTATCTGGTACAGAAGGGTAAATCCTGTGTTCCTATGACTTTTCAGAGTTCATTTGTGTAATTAACAGTTTTAAATGGACAATGTTAAGACTGATAGACCTCAGCTCTAACCCTCCAATAAACTCTAACCCTCTTTCTTTAAAAGATACCGCTTAAGGTGGAAACAGCTACTGACCTTCAAATTTATAGCTCCAATGGTCTTAAAATCATGGGCCTTATTATCTCAAGTTCCATGCATGCACTGTCAATGACTTCAATGGAAATACTGCATGCAACTGACAGAAAAACAGGCTCAAGTATTTTTTAGAATATGCAACCTTAGAGCATGTGAATTTCATAATGCATGGGGCAGCATCCTGACATTCATAGGAAAGTCAGAGTCACAGATGGTTTGTGGCTAGGATGCACAATGTATAAAGTGATAATTTGTATCTCTTTTTCCAGCCTTGACAGTGTCATCAGGACACGTTTTGTGGAAAGCAAAATGGAGATCACACAACTTTTCTGAAAGTGAAACAAGAGTGAAAGGAAGGACTGGGGAAATAGCCACCCCCATTCCCTCCATATAATAATTAAACTCACAGAGACCTTCATTGCAGCAGGCTATGCAGAAGGTCCTATGCATAAGTTAAATAAAATATTGGAAAATTTCATCAAGGAAGATTAGAACAAGAGAGGCAAACTGAAGTACAGATACGATGGAAACATTCAGGGAGGGTCAGAGAGTGACTTTTCAAAATCTGCTTTTCTACAATACAATGAAAAACAAAACAAAAATCTTCAGCTAGTTGAAATTGCATCAGACCACAGGGCTGGACCCATGAGATCCTAATAGATTCCTGCTGTGACTTAGTGTCACACTATCATGGGATATCACACACAAGTGTGCATTATATTCAAATGAAATAATCTCTTTCAACCTGGTATTTCATTCTTATTTCATTCAGGCATCCTATATTCCCATACTCCCAAAGGGTTATTAGATTCAGATCTGCCCATGGAAGTACATTATCTGCACAGTGCTATGATAACCTATTCATGACATTTACTCCATTGACAGGTCAACCTATATCTGCTTTGTGAGAGTTGAAGAGTTACATTTTTACTGCACATTTCAATAGGCTAGTGGCATTTCATTCAGCATCTTTTCTGTGCCTTGTCAGCACTTGAGCTCAAGTGTCTAATTATACACATGCAACAAGTTTAATACTAAACTGACACTTGAATTTGTACTCACCATAAACCATGGCTCCTCCAGTTTCATGCAAAAAGCGGAATCGATGATTTTTAAATAACCAAATTGTTAATATTGTAAGAATGAGCAAAAAGTTAAAGACCAGTAATTCCACAGCTCCCTGATGATAAAACTGATCCTCATCTCTTGCTGACATATATTTCCTTAATTTCTCCATTTCATTCCCATATGCGAGCACTTAAAATAAAGGATGAAGAGGAACAAAATGCAAAATAAAGAAAACAGCTCAGGTTAAATGCTGTATCATCAACTTTAGTAAAAGAAAGTCTAGACACTACTGAAATTCACAAACACATCTGCTTTATTTGCAGCCTCACGGCAAACTCCCCCAGCTCAGACTTCAGCTGGATTCTAGTTACAACTTCCTGTTTCTCTCTTAAAGCTGTCCTGTCTCATTTGTAATGTTATGATTGCATCACTATATTGTTCTTGTTTTAAATGGAGATCCATAAGGTTTGTGCAATTTGAGGCTCTGTGAACCTATCAAACCTCTGTGACCCTACCAAAAACTATGTTTGGTTTGTTTGCAAAAATTAGTTTGTGTCCACAACACTTTGTTCCTGTAATTTTTTAAAAATCTTTTTCATAAAATCATAGTAGGAGAACCTTGAGCATCTCACATAGGCAAAGCCTAATTAATGTTGAACAAGTGGCATAAACGACAAGTTGGTTATGTTTTTACAATTAAAAAACCCTTTCCATTTTACCACTCTACAGTGTTAGTCTTAGGCAAGGAAGCTTGGGGTTTACTACAATAGGAGTTTGCCTGCGTAAAGACCAAATAAAAAATGAATGAAGATTGCAAGATTCAGGACCTAATTCTGCAATGAGCTCTGGATGGACAGACTCCTGGGGCACACAGTGAAAGCAGGGGGGCTGCCAATGTGAAGCTCATAGCACCATCGTTAGAAAAACACAATACAAATTAAAATATTTTTTTTCATCATTTATGCTGCTGGCCCATTTCCATTCACTGTAGGCAATAAAACTGGCTACTTTTATAGCCATTTCTAGCCAATTTCACTTTCAGGTTGTCATGTCCTAGCTCAATGCTGCAATATTTGAGCTGCAGACTCTGGAGGAGAATATTCATGTGTTTAAATACCACCTCCAGCCATTGGAGTATTATAAAAGAGAAGAGCAAAGCATTTCTCTTTGTCTCAGATTCCATACAAGTTTGTTTACAGAAGGCCTACATTTGCTGCCAAATTTGAACGGACGGTGCCCCTTCAAACTCTTAAATGTCACTGATGAGTCAATTCAAAACGAATACATAGGCAGCAATGTTGCCAGCTGGGCTTGGTGGCCCCTGCTCTGCACAAGGTGTCCACAGCTCCAAGCAGACCTTTCTTCCCACACAAGACTATGGCTTCTTTGTCCGTTCTGCAACCCCTCAAACCATTTTTATATTAAGAGGAATAGCCTGGTCACTATGTATAGCCAGTTTCATGGTGTTTCCTAACTCCTCTTCCCAGGGAGTTTCTCTGTAGAAGGGGATGATATAGCTCCATACAGTTATTTTTTAATTCACCTCTCTCTTCTTTCCTACTCCTTTTTGCATAGTCACCCTGTATTTGTGTTTTTGCTCTGCTCTTCCCCTCTGCCCCCCACTGCACCTCATTTTCTCCTTTGGATGTCTCTCTTCCCCTCTTCTCTGTTCCTCTCATCACTCACAGGCAGGGTGTAAACTCAGACAAGGACATTTGAATTCAAGTCCATCTGCTGAACCCATCAAGTCTGGGTGAATTCAAAAATAGGCAAAGCCAATTCACACATCCCTCATTATAAGACAGGAATACGTAAAAAAAAAAAAAAGACAAAACTTAGATTTTGAGTTAGACAATTGAATATTTATTATCCATTATATTGGAAACAGCAAAATAATACACGAGGATTAGGTGGAGGGATTCTGGTTACACTACTGAAATAAAAACTCTTCCCAGAACGTTAGAGCCAGATGGGCAGAATGATATCAGTGTAAGGGAGGGACAGGGCATTTGATTTGCACATTTTCTCAGTTCAGAAATGAAAGTGTTCGTAGTACTATGTGGTATAATGTATTTGAAGAAACAACAGCACTCTCCTAATCTGCACATGGCAAGTTGCAGGAAGTTCTCATGTGCTGTTCTTTCTGCTTGTTAAAAAATTAGTTTAAGAGTAGCTGCGCAAGTTTGATACTGCAGCTTTTCACCAAGACAGCCTAAATATGTTACAGGTGGCAGGAACTTTTTGCAAACCAATGGGACTATGGAATCTGGCCCATAGACTTTATCGCAAATCACTAATGTTCTGATTGTCAACAAACCAAAAAGAGCAAACAATAAGACAATTCTGTGTTCTATGGTTATGTCTTTATATCGAACCCAAGAAGCAATAAATCATGTGTCCTTGAGGAAAAAACAAAAGCACTTAAAGTGTTAGTGTCTTTAATATTTGAAGTACAAGACTTTTGCCCACATAAACAGGGCCTGTTGAAGTCTGAGGCAAGAATTCTGGTATCTAACCTCCCTTTCCTGTGGTAGCACAATGATGCTTTTTGACTATTGGTTGCCCATATACAAATAACTTTTCTGACATGAAAGGATTCTGACAATAACCACAATGATTCTGTCTTGAAAAACAATCATCCTTTCTGACTATACACTGATTCTTTTGAACCATGGTTCCAAACACTAAATGCTATTGTGTGTAATGATTTTAAGTGTATAAATGTGCATTTTTAAAGGAAATGTTTCCTGTTTGCTAACAATCATGTAATTGAGATGTTTTTGCTCACAACTTTTTTTAATTAAAAAAGAACAAAGTACCTTACAAACATTGTTCAAATTCTTTGCTGGTGTAAATTGGAGCCAATGGAGCTGTGCCAATTTATACAAGCAGAGAATTTGGCCAGTATATACGTTCCCAACACCCCACCCCACCAAACAACAAAACCTGCATTAAAAGAAAACTTTATAAGGTTGAATAGTCAAGCACTGAAAAGTTAGGAAATGAAAGAATTGAAGTTGTTTATGCAATGTTAATTCTACACCTTTGCGCCTACACATAATTACATCGTCAGATATTTTTCCATAAGACTGCTGCCACGTTCAGCACACAAATTGATGGGTCACAGTGAATAAGGCAGATGTTCAGTATTTCTTATTTCCATATTATCCAATGTGTGGCCCCATACCTTACATGCTGTTCAAAATCCAAACATAGCACTGAATATAGAATTATTTCCTTGTGAGCTTCGTTATGGTGCTCATTGCTGGAGTATCTGACTGCCTCACAAACATTAAGCAATTTATCATCACAATTTCCCCTGTGAAATGAGAAAGTATTTTTCAATTGGAGAACTGAGGCACTGAGAGATTAAGATTTGCAGCAGTGTCCACTAATTTTGGTTGACTCAGTTATTGGGGATCCCTGCTTGACACTTAAGGCCTAATTTTACAAAAATGTTGAATACCTGTAGTTCCAATGGCCTTGACTTAGAGCTGTGAACTCAGCACTTCTCAAAAGGGTATCCAGAAAATGAGGAACATACAATTAGTGGCCAGTTCCGAAAATTTTGATCCAAGGTCCACTTTCGGTAAACACTGAAACATGCTTAGCTCTATGGATGTGAGTAGTCCTACTGCAGACAATGGTTCAGGTCTAAGGCACTTGCCCACTGAAGTGAAAAATCTGGGCCACAGGCTTGTCTACACACATTTTTTTTTTTTACGGCTTAAGTGGCACAGCTCCCCTGTGTGAACACAGTTATGCCAATATAAAGGTGCATATAGCTTAGTGCTGTAAGGGAAGAGAAATACTGATAAAGCACCTTTCTACTGGTATAACTGCATCCACACTAAGGGTTGTGCATAATTAAATATTTTGGTACAAAAATCACATCCCTAAAACAAAATTGTTAAATTAATACAAAAACGGTGCCTAGAACAGGCCTAAGTGACTAGCTCAACATGTAGCAGGGCCAGGGATAGAATAGAGTTCTTGTGGGCCCCCCTCTAGTGCTTGATCCACAAGACTATTCTTCCTATTTCTGCAGTTCCCTGCCTCACTCTCCTTCCAGTGTTTATAGTAAATCTTGTGTGGGTTTTAGGGTAGGTCTATACAACAACTAGACACCCACGGCTGGCCCGTGCCAGCCGACTCAGGCTCACGGGGGTCAAGCTGCAGGGCTGTTCCATTGCTGTGTAGACTTCTGGGCTTGGGTTAGAGCCCAAGATCTAGGACCCTGCAAGGTGGGAGGGTCCCATAACTTAGGCTCCAGACCAAGCCCGGAAGTCTACACAGCAATGAAACAGCTGCGAAGCCAGAGCCCTGTGAGCCCAAGTTGGCTGGCACAGGCCAGCCGCGGGTGACTAGTTGCTGTGTATACATGCCCTTACAGACCACAGCCTCGTTCACTGACCCAATCAGGCATGACTTTCAGTCAGTTACTGGAGTACTTTGTTAGAATAGATCATATTTCTTTCTTATTTGTGACATTTTAGGTTCAATTTCAAAATTGGGGACATTCCCTCAGGCCAGACCAAACTCCTTTAGTGAATTACTCATCATTGTTTCTCAGCAACCCCGGGAAGGGCTGTTAGACCGAAGTACACCTATCAAAGCATATCTGGGCTTTTGCAACAGACCACATCAATCAAAGTGGGAGCTGTCAGGCCCAAGACAGAAATACTGGATATTCATTCAGGACTCAGGATCAGGGAGGACGATAAGTACCTCTCAAGATAATATTCAACACATTGCAAGATTGGGCCCCCCAGAGGTTATAGCCTTTCAGAAATGTAAGATGTAATTATAAATCAGCTGTCCAGACATAGCCATCTGTCACAGTTGCTCTTCATGAGAAATCCAGATGTGCAGTCCAAAAGTGCTGTGTTTTGCTTCTTTTCAGTTTACATTTTAATTATTTCTTCCTGAAGCAACATATATGTTTTTATCCTTGACCTCAACTGACACTTTAGAAGTTCAGTTAGCAAACTGCAATTTTTAACAGGCATGTCCATGATGCCTAATAAACTATCATTTTTTAAAATGTTTTCAATTTTCATGTTGATCACCTGAATCACAGCATTTTTCAGCCAGCAAAAGGATACAGTCTAGTATTTTGTGCTAAGCTTTTGTTGGTTTTTTTTGGTTTTGTTTTGTTTTTTACAGGAGCTTTCTCCCCCTCCTCTCCATTCCTTATTTATTCAAGCGATTTTTTTGGTCAATATCTGTCTCTCCGTCCACATGCTGTCTCAGACTGGCCTGCTGCATAAAGCAGTCTCTGTGAATTCTCCTTGACTCATAAGTTTTCAGATTTTTGGGTACAGGCAATACACGTGCTATTAAAAATGTTC